AAACAGTGACAAAGGCGTACTATCTCGATGTTCTCCGGCGACTCCGTGACGCAGTTTGGCGCAAAAGACATGTGGACGGCGAAGAACAGGCACTTGCATCATGACAACGCCTCTGCACATTCATCTCAATTGATCCACACTTCTACGACTTCTGGTTGTTTCCAAAATTGAAGGCGCCACTGAAATGATCCCGTTTTGAGAGTAGAGAAGAAATAATGCGGAACGCGACGACGGAGCTTAACACCATTCCAAAAAAAAAAAGACTTCCAGAGGTGTTTCCAGCGGTGGAAGGATCGGTGGGCTAAGTGTGTGGAAGCACAAGGGGGCCTACTTTGAAGGGAATTAGGGTCCCAAATATGTCAGATATTCGAAATATTTTTTCTGGCCAAAGGTCGGATACTTTTTAGTCAGGCCTCGTACAGGGCTGGCGTTAAGTTATTTTGCGCTCCAGCTAAAATAAGATGTGACAATAAATATTCTGAAAAGACAAAATGTTTGCGACGCCACGCGTCCTAACTCATCGGCCGCAATTTTCTCACGGAAGTATTCAACCACAAAAATAAGAACATTTCTTTCTCGCTACTAGTTACGCAGTACAGAGATAATGTAAAGTTGTGGGAGGGGGAAACGTCGAATTTTTGCCCGAAAAACTCTTATTGCGGGTCCCTGCTAACAAAAAAGTAGATAATATTAATCTATTACAGGATGATTCAAAAAATAGCAGATTTCAAATATTCACCACTAGTTGTCTCTGAACCTGAAAGTCTCTGCATTGTCATTAAGCATGAAATATTCTCCAAAACTGAATGTGTTTTAGCTCCATTAATATCAACAAAGAGATCATTTCTTTTTATTGAGATTACGTATCTAGACATGCTCGAGAATTGGTTGTTTCCCAATTTCAGGATCAGGATGATTTTGTCATCCTGCAACACGGAGCTCTACCTCACTTTCACTGCGAGGTACAGCAGTATCTGAACGAAATAATTCCAGGACGATGGATTCGAAGAAGTGGGGAACATTATCTTGTTCGTCGTAAGTGGCATCCCAGGTCACCAGTTCTGACGTGCTATTTTTATATAAGGGGATTCATAAAAGACTAGGTGTATGTACCACATAAACCTGCTAATCTTGAAGAGAGACATCTAATTGTTGCAGCACTGAACCATCGACCAGTTAATTTGTGCGTCGACTATTGATTCTAGATTTGTCGCGCGACAAATGGTCATGCATCACACATTTAATGTACAAAATAAAACTTTGGATTTTCCTCTATCCAATGATGACTATTGTGGTAGATATTTGACTATACATTTGTGGTAGATATTTGAAATCTGGTCCTTCTTTTTGAATCATTGGGTATAGTAAATGATTTCCTGTAACACATTGTATAATCATAATCCGTGTCCTTGAGACTGAAAAATCGATTGACGGCAAAATGTGACTGTCCGTCAATCTGTTGTCATCGCTGGCACCTGAATCGATTTTCACCTAAGTTGATATTCTTCAATCGATCTGGCTGATGTCGCGGCCACAGAATAACGTTCGAACCATTTTTTTAATTATGAGAAATTTACCCCGAAATTCTCCACAGTGGAAAAGAATTAAATTATTATCTCCGATATTCCAAAAACTTGATTTCAACAAAGGTATTTGAGGCCCGATAATCGAAAAAATACTGAAAAATGTAGGTGTTTTTAATCACTCACAGAATTGAAAGTATTTATTGCACAAAAACGAAACGATTACCATAGGTTAATTGAAAAATCCTCGAAATATATTGTCTTATAACAGTTGGTCACATTTTTGTAAATATTACCGCAAATATGAGTTCTTTGTATTCACTCGCCTACGAATTTGGTGTTGCAATCTGGCAACTGACAGCTCTATTGTAAAGTTGGATGTTTTCAGAACGTTTTGACATACGAGCGCTATTTGTGTTGTTTACAGTAACTTAAAAGATTCATCTTGGCCCAAAAATGGAATTAAATCGATAACATTTTCGTGCGATTATTTTTTACAACTTTCAACGTGGATTAACTCAGCAACAGTAAATGGATGAACGTAATTCAATTTTTGGCGATGAAGCTCCATTAAGGATGTTTATCGATGGTGTGGTGAATTCAATCGTGGTCGTCGTTCACTCCAAGACGAATTTCGCGAAGGTCGTCCAAAATCAGTTGTTGTTCCGAAAACCATTGATGCTGTACGTGAACTGATGTTGCAAGATCGTCATGTGACCTCTCGTTAGATTGAGACAACCTTAGGCATTAGTGGGACCAGCATACATTCAATATTGCATGAACATTTGACTCAAAAAAATTTGTTCGCGTTGGATCCCACACAATTTGTCAATCGCTCAAAAAAAAGGCTCGTGTCGATTGGTCGAAAGAAATGATCACAATATACGATCACGGTGTTTCGAAACACGTCTATGACATCGTGACAGGTGATGAATCGTGAATTTACGCATACGAGCCCGAAAGTAAACAGCAGTCGACTGTATGGGTGTTTCAAGATGAGTAAAATCCAACAAACGTTGTTCGAGCACGAAGCACTTCCAGATGGTCGCCTCTCTTTTCGGAAAAAACTGGACATGTCGCAACCGTACAACTAGAACAACGCAGAACAGTCAATTCTGAGTGGTACACAACGATTTGTTTGGCAGCTATCTTCCAAGAAATCAGGAAAACCAACCGCCAAAGACGGATCACTCTTCACCATGACAATGCGAGCTCTCACACATCGGCTCAAACAACTGCATTTTTGAGCACCCAAAACATTGATTTGATGAGTCATCCGCTGAATAGTCCTCACTTGGCCCCGAATGACTTTTCGACACCTCAAGAAGCGGTTGCTGCATTCAGAATGAATGTTTTGGAGATCCCTCAATCAGACTGGCAAAAGTGCTTCGACAATTGGTTCAAAAGCATGCAAACGTGTATAGATCTTCATGGGGAATATTTTCAAAAACTATAAAGTTATTTTCGATTATTAATATTTGTTTTTGTTCTCTAATCCTGAAATATAAAAGGCAACCCTCGTACTATTACGATTGCCACTAGCACTACCATAACCACTACTACTTCTCCTTCTATGTCAGTTACATAAAATGTACAATACTACATATTATTTCACATTCTTTTCAGTTACTACTAGTGGTGCTACAGAATGGCATAGACTTTTTGTATTAGTTTTCTATTTCCTAGGGGTAGATATTCGAACTTGCCACATATTCTTGCCTGCTGCTATCTATCGCTGCCCAAAGTAAATTTTTTGGAAATTTCATAATTTTTCGGTTTCTTAATAGTACAACGGAGATATTATTTTTAGAATATTAAGGAACAGTAAAACCTCCATGCAAATGGAAATTTTATTTTAAAAATTTGGAGCGCTTCTGAAATTGCGAAATTTTGAGCTAAGCGGTTGAGATTTTCAGAAGCTTTTTATGACATTATTTAAAGCACATGATATATAGCTAATGTAAATGTTAACGACGTGTAAAACAAGTAAAAAAATAGTAGGTTTTTGTAATTTTTGAAAAAATAAGCGCCCTATTGTTCTATTCTTTTATGTCATCTAATGCAGTTTTGAGAAAATCTTAATTTTTTTAAATTACTCGTATTGTTCGCAATATTTGGAGGGGGGGGGAAACTACTAAAATTTTCAAAAATATGTTCATGATCGTATGAAAAAATTCAGTATGTAGAACAAATTTTATTTGAAGGAAAAAACTCTGTATTTGATTTTGTAGTTGTTGGAATACAACTACAAAATTCAAACTTTAAGTGTATATTACTCTATTCTTATAAGAAATTTATAGAAAAAATTTGGAGCCGTTTTTGAGAAAATTGTGAAAATGTGTGGAGGGCTCCATGTAAAGTACACCCAAATTTTGAAGATTTTTTTCCAAAGTCTCAAACATTCGATTTGTGCCAGATGGACAGGTGTTTCCTCAATTTGGAAAAAATCCTTCGCATGCTGTAGGGGCTTGTAGTGTTCAGACTCCGGAGGGACGGACGGACGTTTTGAAAAAAACAATCCTCCTTCGGTTTCAGGGGACCTCAAAACGTGTGTTTCCATTGAAATCTTGAAATAGATTTTCCGCAACATTACATAACTTTCCCTATACTACATATATTACCCTGCATATACGTACGTATACAGGTAAGTAAAAGTGAAATTGGGTGATAGGTACCTCTAACTTTCCCCTGATTTTACCCAAATCTTTGCATACATCCTCTCAAAACAGTCATCTCTAAAATTTGCGGAGGTAAAGCTCACTAGAAATGAAATTAATGAATTATAGGTGATAACACAGTCTTTATGTTTAACCTTGTTAATATTCAGGAAATTTCTGGTATTTTTTGATGACCTAAATAGGTTTGAGAAACCTTCAAAAATTAACTTTCTTAGCTGGTTTAAATTTAATGATATTCAACAGCTATATCTGCAAAAATGGATTCTGTAAAAAAGATAATTTGTTGATGATTCAAGGTATCCATTAGTGAAACGCAAACAATGAAACAAAATGTAGTGCTTCCTTTCTGATTTCAACTGTGGTGTAATGTACATTCAGTCTGCTGTTCACCCAGCTGTATCGTAGCTAAAAGCATTGTCTTATTTTGTATTTACTTAGATTCATTAGTTGTTGTTTAATTAATGTATTTTTTTAATGTCTAATGTTGGTGTAGTTTTGACATCTAGCAGTATTACTAACTGCGAACCAGATTACTTGATAAAATAATTATTGTTTAATAATACAGTTTCTGTAATCCAGAAGATTGAGACAAGTTTTTTTTCTGCTTCCTATTTTTCATTTTTCTTTTCTATTTTTGTTAATGCTGCATGGTATCATGATTTTGATAATCATTTTCATAGTTTAATATTTTAAATAACTTCTTGTCTTTTCTGTTTGTTGCTCTCCTATCGCTATTTATTGATCGGATGTGCACATGGCGTTGATGGCCTGCATGCATAAAGTGTGCACTTTCTTTCAGGCTCCTTATGGCGCTACATCCGAGCATCCATGTCTTTGTCGGGATACATGCCTCCTTTGTGTGATCCTGCAGATGGCCACCTTCTCCTTGATGGAGGTTATGTCAACAATTTGCCAGGTAACCAATCACAAGCCATTATTGTTCAATGGGGAAATTTGCCATATCATATACCCTTGAATTGTTACTAATTGTAACTGCATGAAAATAATGCCACTGGTGTATGCTTTAGCTGTTGTATGCTTTTTGATACGTGGCTTAACACTGTGGTGTCATGTTTCTGTGTTGCTGTTTTGCTCCTGCTTGTTTTGTGTATTGACATATTTATGGTTTTCCTTGTTCACATTAACTTCATTTCTTTCCTTAATGTTGTAGTTGCTTATTTGTTAAAATTATTTGTAGCAGGAAAAAGTTCTTATTCGGTCATCAACATTTTTTTCCCCGTGCATCCAATTTTAATCAACCAGGTAACTCATGCCTGTATGTGTAGCCCATACTTCAAACTGGTGTGCTTTGTGTGTTGTACAGTTTTTCTGTTGATTAGAGCACATTGGAGAAAAGGTGCCAGACTATTCCTTTTATTGCAATGTCGTTTCTTTTTGTTCTTTCCCTTGTTCGTCTGCTTGGCTACAAGCTCTGTCTGCAGGAACCTTGTGGCGCTATGTGCGCTCCAGCATGTCAATTGCCGGTGTACTTCCACCTCTTTGTGACCCTGTTGATGGACACATGCTACTGGATGGCTGTTATGTCAACAATGTGCCAGGTAATGGGAGTCCTTGCCTTGGGATCTGTGTGCAATCAGTCCCTAAATTAATTGATAATAAATGTTGATTGCTTCAAGCATTTTTATCCACGTTTGTAAAGTCTTGAGAATATAGTTCATACAAGTAGTATGTATTACTTTTGAAGAAGATTATAGTTTAAGGACACTTTTTTTGCTTGTATAATAAATGTTTTCGGGATTCAAAGGAATAGTTACACATTTTTCCAAGTTATTTTAACAATATATGTTTTGTATATCAAAGACTATGTATACTACATGTTCATGGCTTACAACGAAAATACAGCAACACAGAAGCACATTCAGGAAAAACATTAATGCATTAGTTATGAAATATGTTTGCTGTTTGCTATTAACAAATAGAAATGTGCTCATTTATGATTGTTAATCTGCGACACTTTTATAGATGAACTAATAAATATTGGGATGCTGTCTGGTGCTTAATACTAAAGTTTGTTCTTCAGGATTTTTGCTGATAATGTAGACCTTGTGTATACAAAGATAACGAGAAGCTAATTGTCAACAATACAGTTTTCTATTACATTCGTAATAACTTTAAACTTCCCATAAAAAACATGGTATGTTTCTGTAGAAATCAGCAATTATTACAAGTTTTCAGGAAATCTTACCAGACAGAAGCTTAGCTTAGAGGCAGATGGCAAGTCTTTAATAATAATATTTGCTTCCCCTTAAATAATGTGTTTTTTCTGATTGGGCTATCTATTTGTGAAATATAGTTGATATGAAAGTAGTTAATTTTAATTATATATTTTAAAATAAGACAAATCAACATCTTTAAAAATTTTGAAAATAATATTAAAATATTACTTTCTTTTCAAAATAAATATATAATCAATTTTTTTAAATAAAGTGGCAGTAATAACCAATCAATTGTTGCTTCAATCACATTGCAAGAATGTGAAATTACGTTTGTACAGACATACTCAAATAAGAGTGAAGTATTGAAATTGACAAATACATAATTTTAGGTATCTTTTTGCATGTCATTTGACGCACTTTCATCCTTATATTATTCAAAATTTCTCCTCCTCGTGGAAACTAATTTGTAGAATTTCTCTGATAATGAAAATAATAACTTATAATTTTGAAATGGTACAAGCACTGGATTTCCACTGATTCAATTTCCATAAATTCATTTAATGAAAGTTTATTCATTCAATCATTTTTAAATGGGTAGTGACCTTTAGGCAAGGAAATTGGTACCTAAAAGCTTACCGTTATAGAAAGAGAAAAGTGACAAAGTATGAACTATTAAATACGTACTGTCAAGGTGTATGAATTAAAGGTGCTAGTAATGTTTGTTACGGTATACATTCCAGCTAAGAAACTATATTGGTCTGGTGAGAAAACAGGGTGATTAAAATGTCGTATACTAATTTCTCAAAGAGTTTGGGAATGGAGTTTATAATTGCAATAGGATGAAAATTACTTCTGTCTCTAAAATCACCAGATTTGAATATTGGAACAATTTTATAAATTTCCCATTTATCTGGAAATATATCTGAAGAAGAATAGGTTGAACAGAACATTGTGCAGGACATGAACTACAATGGCAATTGTGAAGAAAACAATTATCTATACCATCATGTCCTGGTCCAGCATTCATATCCAGTTTTCAGTTGCATGAAAGGTATCTGCAAAATCAATAGATAATGAAATATACCTGCAAGGTCAAGTAATAGCTTAGTGGTGGACGAAAGACACCTCAATCTTGGCATACAAATGTTAGTCGAGTGTTTATCTCGAGTGTGGACAAGTGGTAGTGTGCCAACCTTCGCAAAATTGATTTCTGAGTTAATCAGATTTTTGAATTTTGTGTGTGTGGGGCGGAGTGCGTGTGCTTGCTTGATTTTATAGAAATCGTATTAGGTGAATGTTGGAATAATATTTTATGAAATTTATTTTGTAGAGATGCACTTTTCTCTAAAAGGGTGCATTTTTCAAGTATACGCGATTTGTTTTCCAAAATTAAACGTGCTCTAACACACAAGATCTCTAAACTGTTCGTTGGACCATAAAAAAGAGCATAAATCGTAGCAAAATAAAGAAAATTTCTGTTTTCCTCGATTAGCTTCTTTTCTTTCCACCAAGTGACTCAACTGAAAACCATGAACCGATAGCAAAATTAGCAAAACTCGATGTTTGCGTGAACCCACTAAGCTAGGATATTTTTTCTTATAAATGTTGACACAGTATCACTGACTTTTATTTAATCCTCTTCTTTCGAAAACAGCAATTTCAACGTTTTACTTTCTCCTGTTTTCGAAAACGTCCTTCACGTTGAATTTTGGAGTTATAGATTTCTCAATCCTGACTTAATGTTATCCTTTTCTGAATGTAAATATGAATATTTTGCAGCATGGACCGCAGCTGAGGATACCATCCCAAAGACCCGTTACTTCATGTTAGCTTAGTTTCCATTGTATTAGGACGCAGTGTGCCTGGTGGGTTTTCCCCGACTAGCGGGTTTTACTCCAGAATCGAGCGGCGGTTGATGGCGTCTTTCTGTATTAATAGATCACAGTCGCACGAGGCGACTACCAGGCTGCCGCATCGTGCGCAGATATGTAAAGCATATAATCTTATTTAATTCAAATTGTGTTTTCAAACTCAGTCTTGATTTTAAAATTATTTCAAACGTATTTACTGTAACATTGTATCAATTTAACCTCTGATGTTATCTATTTATAAGTTGCTTTAAATAACGTTTGCTTTCCACTAACTACTTACCACTTGTAGATTACATTAAATCTTAATTTTTAGATAACATTACTTTTTTGAACTTTTACTGTTACTACATTACTCTGTATATGTGTGACATGTGGTTAGGCGGAAGAGAGGGCCTGATGGCCCGAGCCTCGCCATATTAATAAAGGCATATTATTATTATTATTATTATTATTATTATTATTATTATTATTATTATTATTATTATTATTATATGAGAACTTTAAATATTTTGTTGTATTTTTTTTTTGTAATTTTAGTAATTTTCGTGTAATTTCGGGGATGTATATTTACCGGAAAAGCTCGACTTCATTCTTAACTTCGGACGCGCTATAGAACCGCCGAAGCGGTCATTGTGCATGTAATTCACCTTCTACATAAAATTATACTAGTTTTATAACCAGAATAGCTTTGTATCGTGAGGTGGTGTGACAGAGAGATATAGTATTGAATTCAATAAAAATTCCAGACATGATAATTTTAACAAACACCTTTTTACTTCCACTTTTTTATCGCTAATATACTCGTAATACATGGACAGAAAAGGGTTTGCAACACCGGGAAGGGCACGAGCATTCATGTAGGTGATAAGGGACGTTAGGAGTAGGGTTGAAGAAGATGTGATTAGCATTTCACGGATGACTGACGCCCGGAGACGTAATGGCAACTTGACGAAATGGTCCGGTAACGCCATCTACTCCGCGGCTTGAAAGGGCACTCTACTGCGATAAGGTCTTGTCGGGGCTTAGGTATATCTCGGTGTCGCACAGGTCCGGGTGGTCCTTTCGGTGCATTGCAGACCACGTGTGCCGTGATGCGACGTCGATACTACGGTGCTTATGACGATGGGTAGACGAGCATTCCAATAGTCGTAGACCCACATCGGGACGTCCTCGGAGTATTGAGTTTCGAAAAACCTCGTTTGTAGTCATTTGGAAAACTTAAACTCACAAATATACAACTCATAAACTAACAAATTGCTGGAAATGTGCATATTAACGGCGTGAGAGATCTTTAAAAAATAAATTTGTGTAATTAAAAAAAATCCCGAAATAAACTTTACATCATATTAAGGAGAGTAATTAGCACTATCCGTTTGAAAAGTTTGAAGAAAAAATGTGGAGCAGTTCTTGAGAAAAAGGAGTTTGAGCGTTTCTGAAAATGCGAAATTTTGAGCTAGTTTTCACAGAATACGGTGGAGTTTTCGAGAAACTTTATATGACATTATTTAAAGCACATGTACTCATAAATAAATTTAAACAAATCGCCGCTAATATTCATGTTAACGACGTCAGAAACAAGCCAAAATTACATTTTTGAAAAAATAATAAAAATTCGAAATACAAAAAATTAAATTGGAGCCGTTTTTTAGAAAATCTTGTTTTTGTATCATTTAATTGCAAATTTGCACGCAATATTGCGCGAAAAGTACTATAAGTTTCAAAAAATGTTTATGACCTAAATCAAGGAACTAAATATGGACAACATATTTAATTTGAACGAAAAACTCTATTTTGTAGTTGTAGGAAGACTCCGAAAAAAATTCAAACATTTGCAATTTTCGAAAAAATCCGAGTGAACCGTGAAAATG